TGGTATTCTCTACTTAATTTTCCTTTGCCTTCCGCACATGAGTTTGTCGATTACTGGGGACATTTGACATCTTATCGCAATGTTTACTTTTACTCGAACTTAAATAACTAGTTTGATAGGTGAAAATAACTAATGGACCAAGATTACAATCATCTATAATGGTTCTTTAATTAGCGTTATCAGCTTATAAATGCTCCTGTGCGATATATCTGTTAGTATATCAACCACTCGTAAGTACAGCCACAAGGCAACGCAAACACATCTACTCGTAGAGTATGAACATAGTGTAGGTAAGGCTCGACTAAAGAAAAAGTATTGTATGTATAAAGGCGATCTTAATCAACATCTTCGCTAGATAGTTCTTTGTATTACCGCACACAGCATATCACTTAGCGCTGGAAAATAGGCCTTCTCCATCAACCTTTAACAAAATAGATACGTTACCTGCGCCTTATGGACTTCATTCACACTGGTGATCACCATTTCTACCAATATTTGCTATCATACGTTAATCGATGGTTCGATTTACCTATAACAAGTATGTCATTTTAATCTCCTTTTCTGTATATTTACATTAAATAAGGGTCTAGCAAGTATCTGAACAGCCTCTAGAATTCTCTATGAACCCCACCGTGGTCTTCATATATTAGATCTGTGCATTCGGCTAATAAACTAGTATTAACCAGACGAACGTTCATTACAACTGTCAGCATATATAACAACACTGCTATTTTCCCTTGACGTTATCAAGCACATCTGGATATATGTAACTATTCGACTACAATTTCGTACTTTGTGTATTTTACTAAACATAAGCCATGCACCTAAACGTTAAACTTAGCAATAAGCGATTAGCTACCTCTGAATCAAAAATCCCGGGTCAGACAACGTGATTGGCCGTAAAATGCTGATTGAGCAAACTTACAAAGTGCGAAAATGAGAACCACCTTAATCTTAGTGGTTAAAAGTTGGGCCTAAAATTTTTGGCAATGTGGAAACATTATAACTAAAGTATTAACTTCCTTTCTTATTTTGCATTGGTAATATATTCTCTATTATCCCTTTTTGAATGTTAATAGTTTCGTGAGCTTGAAGTCAGAACATCTTACTCCAGCTGTTGCATGGTACAAAAGAAGTTCTGCTACAACTACCAGTCTTGATTCTTCGAAATAGAAAATCAGGGGTAACCATCAGAAAAAAATTGGTTAGCCCGGTTCCAAACACAAATTATTGCTTATCTTTCGTTTTGCCGTAGACGTAAACGTTTTGATGGATTGGTAAGATTGTCTTCAACATGAACTTCATACAAGTATGTTTAATTTTTGTCGCACAGGGTTCGCGTTTCTAGCGAGACCAGAGAACATTTCGTCAGAGGCACTGATAACAGATGTAGATGCAACTGCAGAGATAATCCACATTCTCTTCAGTAAGATTTGGGGTGAAGAACAAGTACTAACAGACTGCAAACAAGGACTTCTGATCAAGATACCAAAGAAAGGTGATCTCAGCAAGTGCGATAACTACAGGGGCATCACTCTTCTCCCAATACCTGGAAACATCCTCAACAGAGTATTGTTGAAAAGAATAAGGGACTCCGTAGACGCTTAACTTCGAGATCAACAGGCTGAATTCCGTAAGGATCGATCGTGTACAGACCAAATCGCAACTCTACGGAACATTGTGGAACAATCAATCGAATGAAATTCATCACTCTACATCAACTTCATTAACTACGAAAAAGCATTAGATAGCGTGGGCAGGACAACACTGTGGAGGCTTCTTCGACACTATGGCGTGCCTGAGAAGATAGTCAATATCATACGGAATGCCTATGATGGATTAAACTGCCAAATCGTGCATTGAGAACAACTCACCGACTCATTCGAGGTAAAAACTGGTGTCAGACAAGGTTGCTTACTCTCACCCTTTCTCTTTCTCCTGGTGATCGACTGGATCATGAAGACCTCAACATCTGGAGGAAATCACGGGGTACAGTGGACAGGCAGGATGCAGCTTGACGATTAAGACCTCGCAGATGATCTGGCTCTTCTATCACAAACGCAACAACAAATGCAGGAGAAAACGACCAGTGTAGCAGTAGCCTCAGCAGCAGTAGGTCTCAATATAAACAAAGGGAAAAGCAAGACTCTCCGATACAATATAGCATGCACCAATCGAATTACACTTGACGGAGATCTGAGCAGCATAATCGATGAACACGATGAATCTGATACAGATGTGAGGACGAGGATCGGCAAAGCAAGAACAGCATATTTACAACTGAAGAACATCTGGAACTCAAAACAATTGTCAATCAACACCAAGATCACAATTTTCAATACGAATGTCAAATCATCCAGAAGACACATGTGTTTTATAACATTTGTCTACGCAAAATACTTTGGGTCCGTTGGCCAGACACTATCAGCAACAACCTATTGAGGGAGGGGACAAACCAGATTCCAGTGAAGAAAGAAATCAGGAAGAAGCACTGGAAGTGGATTACGCGCACTTTGAGGAGATCACCCAACTGCGTCACAAGATAAGCCCTCACATGGACTCTTGAAGGCCAAGGGAGAAAAGGAGGACCAAAAAAACACATTGATCTGAGAAATACAGACAGACATGAGAAGAATGAACAACAATTGAATAGAACTATAAAGGAAGGCCCATGACAGAGTGGGTTGAAGAATCCTGGTCGGCGGCCTATGCTCTATTGGGGGTAACAGGCGTTAGGAAGTAATTAAGCAAGGGTTCGCGTTGAGATCATTATGTTGTCGTTTATCTTATACTAAGATACTGGTCATACATCATATGTTATACTTATTATAAAGTGAAAGCCTAAAATATAAACACAATTTGTCGCCAGTAGAGATAGACACTGTTATGACTACAAAAGTCTTACTCCCAAAACTCAATATTAGTGATTCCGAGTTGCATTTTGCTGAACTAAAGCATTATTTCACGGTGCAGATTATTAAATTTCAGGAAACTCGCTACCGAGATTTATTTTCTGTACTTCCTCCTTTAGTTGCTAAAGAATTCCGCGACTTGATTCTGATCCATTAACGTCACAACCATACACCATTTTAGTATGTGAGAAATGAATCATCTACCTTCGTCAGATGGCTAAGGAACCCAACGGCCTTCCCAATTAAGAACATCAGGTGATAATTCAAAATTACAGTTCCCGCTTTGCCTACGAATCCTTTTGCGGACGAAAACACCGTGAGTGAAGCAGTCCTAAAACAAGCATGGATATAAACTTCAAAAAGTAAGCTTATGATAAGTCAAATTATCGACAGTTAAGGTACACTTGTGCTTGCAAGGCCCAGAACATTAGAACCAGATAAGGTTGAAATAACTAGATTCGAATTAGATTACACGCCGCAGCGGAACTACACATTTCCGTATGATAACCAATAGCCAGCCCTGCACACACTCCTGTTAACACTCATGAAGAAGGAGCATAGGCTTCAGACCAGCATTCTCCATCCAACCTTGTCCTGAAAAATACCTTCCAGTTGCTATTCGTCCTTTTCATATCTGCTTCCAATTCTCAACACAGTGTGTTCTTTGCTCTTCCCAGAATATCCTGACACGTTGAAGTTAGTACTTCTTTGATTCCTATCCAGTTGTCCTCCATGACAGACTCTTATTCCTTCAGTAAATCCTGTAAGGCTTAGAACCTGTTGTTGAGAATCATCTTGAATTGATTGCGTTTGTCAGTATGTCGAAGGAAGTCTGTATTGAACCTATGTAATCCTGTTTCTCACTTGTTCACTGTTTCTTTAGCCTCACTTTCATCTTAGACACAACCAGGTGGTGATCTGAAGCTATGTCACTTCTCCTTGTTTTCACATCTTCCATTGTCCTTCAGAATTTTCGGTCGCTGCAAACATGATATATCTGGTTCTCTGTAGTGTGGTATGGTGAGATCCATATAGCTTTGTATATGTGTTTGTGTGGAAATACTATACCGTTTGTAATCATTTTGCTGAATGCTCTCTCAGGTTTGCAAATCTCTTCCCATTTCCGTTCCTTTCTCCCAATCAGTTCATGTCCTCCCACGATATCTCCATATCCGGTGTTGTCTATTCCGACTTTGGTGTTTAAATCTCGTATAAGGATTGTCATGTCCATTCCCGAGCACTTTGCTATGATTGATTACAGCCTCGAGTAGAACTAATCTTTATCGTTGTCGTTGCTATTATTAGTGAGTGCGTAACATTAAATGTTATGCACTGTGATTTACTCCATCTCTTTTGTGATGGATGCTTCCACATCGTTCAAACCTTCCATGTGCCTATATTAGTTCTTGTTCTGCTTGTTAGAAGATACATCGGCTCTGTGATTTCCGAAGTATATCGGCTTCCATGTGAGACGTCATATTTCTTCTGTATGAAGTCCTTTCAACTCGGAGGTTACGGTTTAAATAGTTTGGATTGATTATTCTGGTTAACGTTTTTCTTCTGTATGGGGATGCTGACCCTATTCTTAACTCCCCTCCTTTGTATGGGCTTGGGACTGGAAGTAACCGCAGAAGAGCTACTGGCGTAGTCACTTCTACGTAAGTCTCTGAGAAGTATTTAAAGCCTCTAGCCACGCAGATTTTAAGTCCTCTTCAACCTTCTGTTCAGTTCTTGTTCAGTTCTTGTATGCAATCATCCGGCCTTTGCCTCAACGGTGTTATTAGTCTGTTGGGAAAATTTAAATAGTCCGAACCTAGTTTGTCACTGCAACCTCATATAACGAGGTACTGTACAAACCAAGCCTATTCCCTAGAGGCCAGAAGTAATTGGACATACTTTACGTAATTTAATAACAATTTTTCATCCGATATGTCTTTGTCTTTCTCATCCTTCAGAGCGGAAATCCACCAAGATAGTTGAGAAACATTCACAAGCCTAGAGTTAGTTACTTGTCTAAAGACTACTAACTTCCCCATCGAATTATCAACTAAGAGGAGCTTTAATTTCAATATGTGGTTTAATTTCTATGCAGTGGAGCTTCTAAAAGATACGTAGATTGACTTAGAGACTCCCAATACTAAGATAAACAAACGTCACCAAGCCTCCGGTCGTTCCCAAGCTGATACTGAAACCCTAAAAATGGGTTGGTCAATGTTTATTCCGAGGTTACAGCATATATAATCGCTACCCTAAAAAAAATAGATCAAAACACAGAGCATCCTCACCTTATCAGGAATTTTGACATTATTGGATACAGTCACATCTTTAAATGACATAAACAGTTTTCAATATTTCATTTGCATGCATTAAATCACGTGGACGTTTTGAATATTGCGTACTTGTTTTCGTGTTGCCTCAGAATATGGGGAAATCTAAGAAAGAAAACAAAGATAGCAACGCTACTGAATCAGTTGCACTGAAAAAGGAGGTTTCAGTCATACAGGGTGTGAGTATTGTTGTCGGTGTTATCATTGGTTCTGGTATTTTTGTTTCACCTGTCGGAGTCTTGAAACATACCAAATCCGTCGGATTATCATTTATTATGTGGGCCGTCACCGGATTATTCAGTGCATTGGGTAAATTATCACACTTATTGATCTTATGCAGATGAAGGTGCCATCGTGTATGCCGAACTAGGTGTCACTATTCCTCGATCTGGTGGAGAATATGTTTACATTCTCCAAACGTTCGGACCTTTACTTGCCTTCCTAGCCTTTTGGATTACATTCGTCGTAATCGGATCTGCAAGTTGTGCGGCAAATGCACTTATTTTCGCCCAATATATTCTTCGACCTGTTTACATGGACTGTGTTACTCCTACTATCGTGATACGCACCGTTGCAGTGCTAGGACTGCGTAAGCGTAGCATAAGTTAATTACTGAATCAAGTTCTTCTTTGCTTCGTGCACTGTTTTAGCGTTAAACTGGCAACGAAAGTTGCGGTCGTCTTCACTGCATGTAAAGTTACAGCTTTACTTATTATAATTGGTTTTGGCCTCTACTATCTGGGAAAAGGTAGGGTATGCTTCCATATATAACCTTTATATAAGTCTTTACTTCGTTTCCTGACTACCCCTTATTATTTTAAATAGGAAATGTTGAGAGTTTCAAAAATGCCTTTGAAGATAGCGAAAAATCACCTGGTGAACTTGCATTGGGGTTTTACCAAGGGTTTTGGGCTTTCTCTGGTTGGTAAGTTGTCTGAATGTCCCATTTTATTTATTACCTAAGTGTTGTAATTTCAAACTTCCGTTTGTGTTAATTGTAGACTGGCAATAGTTTTGACATGCCTTAATACCAAACTTATCTTAGTAAATTGTAAACCACATATTTTTCTATAATGCTTAAAAGTACTTCGTCTATCAAAAGTAGTTTTCTGAATTAATTCTGTCACATAACTTACTATATTTCGATATAATTAAGCACTGACTTTATTCGTATAGCTCCAAACTTTCGGCATTATTAAATCCATAATATATTAGGCCCCTGACTACTATTGTTCTACATTATTTATATTTAGACATAGAGAATGTTTTGGATTTGACGTTATTTCGTTCCGATTATATCTCTCAAGAAATTAATAATGTTGATTCATTAATAACCAGGTAGTGATTATCTGTATCCGTGTGTTAGTTTTACTGTTCTACAGAAATTTGAGCACAAACTGTCCTAAGCAGATATAAATTAATTCCTTTAGGCAATAAAGATACTTGGTTCTCAATCCATTCATGTTGTGTCATCAGAAAGTAAAGTCGGACAACTTGAAATTTCCATCTGCCTTTCGTGAATTTACACTTACTGTAGACATCAACGGAACTAAGTTACGGGTTTTTCTGGCGTTGGTGTCGCACTAAGCACCAGAGCTGAGGTAGCACTGGTGGATTGGATCTCCATTAACACTCGGTTGTGTGTTGTCAAATTAGAAAGTCCGATCAAGGTGAGGGGAAATTGGTATGAGAAGTGATGTACTTTCGTCATCGCCTACACTAAATCCCGGATACGATCGAGGATGGGTTTTACCACTTCGGTCTGCTCCGGGTTACCGCCAGTGTGAGCATAAATGTTGTTACGAAACTAAATTGTGCAAAGTTTGAGTACAGAATGAGAAGCCTGGTGATCGTAGTGTGCTAACGAGTTAGAAGAAGCAACTGCATCTGATGACTGGCAGAATTTCTTCCAGCCCATCTGAGTCACTAGCATCAAGAAGTTTGGTTTGAGTGAAACGATCTGTGAAGCTGATTGGTTGCCTATCAATATCACCTACCGATGTCTTGGACGATGAATAGAGTTCCTGGACGAACAGCTCGGCAGATCTGTTGCTCAGTGAAATCGATCTATCTACTTAACGAGACGGAAGTCCGCAAGAAACTCCGGCCCTTGAAGTGCTACAAATCACAAGGCGTACCCCCCCCCCCGGTCCTTTGTAAAAATGGTGGCTATCATCTGGTTGTGAAACTGACTGAGTTTATTTCACAAAGGTCTGGCAATTAAAGAGTATTCCAACATCGTGGAATGAGTCGACAGTTCTTCCCTTCTGTAAAAACTATCAGGGAATAGGTCTACATCTGATTGCATCCAAACTGTTGGCTTCCGTCATACTTCGTAGATTTTTCAAAACCCGAGAAAGATTGACTTGCGAAGAGCATCCTGTTTTTCGTTGTGGTCGATGATGTATTGATTACATCTTCTCCCTCCTTCGAACGTTAGAACACCTCCATACCTTTCACAGGCCAACAATCATAGTGTTTCTTGACATTACGGCCGCTTTCGATTCGTTGGACAGGACTGTTCTCTGTGCTTGTCTATTGAAGAAAGGTGTGCCCAAGAAGCTTATTAACACCTTAAAATACCTATATACTAACACCTCAGGTAGAGTGATGACATACAACCACCTCTCTCCACTGTTCCACTCAACCAGTGGGGTTAGTCAGGGTTTTCCAACCTCACCATCCCTCTCCAACTTTACCATCGATGACGTTCTGGAAACAGTTGTAATGGATGTAGGTAATGGTGGTGTGGATTTGTTGTCTGGAAAAAGACATTTCAGTTGGCGCTTACGTGATAAAGTGTATTTTAGCAGAAAATTGATTGCTTGAGCACACGAAAGACCATTATATATTTTGAAGTTTCTTAGATCGCTAATTAAACTGACAAATGATCAAAAGGTTTCTCCTACTAGACGTAACATTTTTGTTGTATGCTGTTAGCCTAATGAGACAGAAAATTACGAATTTCATCCCAGAGAATTCTACATTATGAATTATTTTCCGACGCTGGAACCAGTTGTGAAAAGCGGAGGGGTGGTCAGTGTATGACATGGCGTCGTGGTATGAAAGAAAGGTTTATGGGGCTGGCTCCTGTTTGTCGTCCAAAACTGCTTGGTTGGGATTCTAGAGATGGTAGAACATAATAGCCAAAGACCTTATCAAATATGGCCCATAATGGAAGACAGTGGCGATTATGCTGTAACTTCATTTTAGATAAAAATGAACATTAATCAAATTTACGTCACCATATTATTTCTTGTTGAACGTGAATAAAAAATAAGACATTAGGTTGTTTGGTCCTTTTGGATTGTATTCTAATTTGTTTTGTAGGAATTATCTCAACTTTTTGACTGGAGAAGTAAAGAATCCAGGAAGGTATGTAATGATAGTTTATGTATCCTTATGCATGTAATCATATGTATAACTACCAATTTAAATAAAAGAAAAGTGTTGGTTGAAAATTGAAACAAGATAGTTTGACAGTAACCACTGAAATACCTCAGTTATTCATAACGTAGTCAATTTATAAATGCTCCTCTACGAATTGGATTTTGTGTATTTGCGTTTCTATCTAATTACTGTGCTATGTTGCTAAGTTGAAACTCCAGCCAAGTGATCAAAACATACCTCCTACATGTAAAAAATGTTCAAACCCATTACATACTTTTATCTGAATATGCGAGTAGTATCTGCTTAAATAATATTAGTTGTACATAGGCTAGTACGTAAACATGTGTTAAAAAGTGTGGTACGTGTTATTAGACATCAGTAGACTTAGAACGATGGGTCATTAACCATTCTAAATTAAGTGACTTAAAAAGGCAAACAGAAAATAAATGAAACCTAAGACGTTATGTATACTGAGGAAGTTGATTGTAAGTTCTGTGATATTTTTACCTGTAAAATATATTGTTTTCTGACCAAAACTACTGCAAATTACAGCTGTATAAAACAGGTCGTAGCATCCATATTAAATAGTTAAATGATGTCAACTATTGCGGTACCCGGATTACTTCAGTGACATAAACGAAAAGTCAAATAATATACCATAAAGGTACTTGAGACCTACATTCTAAGTTATTAGCATCAAACAGTGAAGTTACTTGTAATAAATACTAAGCCTTCGCTATTTGTAAAACTGCTTAAAAAAGTTAATTTGACTTTTTATACACAGGACACTACCGATCGTAATTATACTCTCCCTCACAACAGTAACGTTCATCTATATTTTGACCAATGTGGCCTACCTCGCAGTCTTATCACCATTAGAAGTCCTTGCCTCAGAAGGTTCCACTGCAATAGCTGTGGTGAGTATTTTCTCCTCAATATTTCACGAGTCTATTAAAAATATTCTTATTCTTACAACTTTTTGGTTGCAAATATTTAACGCACTGTTTGCCCATATCACATAATTAAACAAGTGTGTAACGAGTGGTGTTGTGGCATAAAAAAATAATACTAAATAATCATCATGTTCTACAAGGAGTTGAATACTACACCAATTTAGGTTCTTTAGTATTTTATGAAAAAAGTAAAGTGCTCCAGTGGTATTTGATCGTTCAAACAGAAACATATAGTTATTTCTAGAATTTTAAAATCCCATCCACAAATCTCCGAAGTAATACTGAGGTTTGCATTCATATTGTACCCTGTATCTAGTGGTATTTATATGCTTTTTTATTTAGTCCATAAGTATGCATTTGACATTGATTCTAAATCGGGATTTCGTAGTGTCTAATACAAAACTGCTACAACGTTCATCGTAGGTCTGAAGTAAACACCAACGTTACAAAAACAAAGTGATCAGGTGTTCCTCGGTAAAGGGCATGACTAGGTTGCTGTACGACCTGGCGTATATCTATACTTGCTAGAATGTGTGCCCGAAGATAACCACCCTCAATTCGAAACACAATTAACTATTGATAATAAACACCCAGTCCTCAATTTATTTGAAACTATCAAGTCTAACCTTGGCATTGATATCTACTATTATTGAAAGATCCTAATAGGTAACGCAAACTGTTTGAAGAAGTAACATATTTGGCAAGCAAAACAACTAAATCGACACATGTGTGAAATAAATCGGATTGCCTGTATCTAAATACAATACATTAGTAGAGTACGCAGTTGCTGACTCATTATGTAGAGAATTCTGAACACTAAGTACAACGATGGTGGGGTATTTGGTATATTTCTTCCCATATGAATGCTGTGTCTATTTGGCTGTTTATTCCAACTATAGGGAGTAAGGTAGTATAGTATCCTGACCGCTTAACTAATCTTGGAAGTTTTATAAACCTTAGTGGATTTGTAGCTGACAGGATTTTGTTATGAACACAAAAAACCTTGCTTAACATCTGCTGACTTATATTACCGTTTTTCGAGGCTAGATATCTGTCTACTTATCAAAGAGCGAGTAAATCGTATAACAATTCACCCTAAATCAACCATTAGCACTTCTTTAATTTTCATCACGTGGGTTTATTTTCCCTATAATATATAGTGGATCAAACTGATACACTTACGTCACAATCCACTTTGATAATTACTAAGTCAAGAATAAATGTATGCTGTCATAACAGAGATAAAAATAATACCTGATCATATGTAGCTCCGTACTCTTTGAGAACGAAATTTAATCTAAGTTTCCTACCATGGGGAAAATCATTGTCTCTAATTATTTAAGGCCCAAACAGATTTTTAAAATGTCTGTTCTTCGCTATTCTCAAAAACGTTGGTCAAATATCCTGGTTAGAAAAATAAAAGATTTCATTTAAGTGAATATTTGATTTTTTGAAGCTTGCGTGATTTATTATGCTTTCACACCAATCTTTCTACTCTCCCTTCTACTTTCCTCTGAACAAAGCACATGTAATTTTTTTGTAAATACACTTACACACTAGTTCACACAAAGCGAAAATTTACATATGTCCTTGTATATCTTCTAAACTTATAGAGTTTTGCATCAAGAACTATGGGGGTTGTGGGTTTGATAATGCCAGCTCTTGTAGGTGCTTCAGTCTTTGGCAGTATAAATGGTGAGGTATTCTCTATTTCCCGGTAAGCGTTTTATCACTTTCGTTCTCGTTTTTAGTAAATTCAGTGCAAGCTGTTATTTTATAAACATTCCATAGTCTATTGAAACACTTGCTTCATCATTAGTAGTCTTCATTTGTCACTATCTCCTCATAATAACATTTTAGTAAACAAAATACCTTACGTAACTAATTTGGCGAGTTTCGCGCTGTAAATATCCAATATTTTAGCAACTTTTGGCAATTTGGAGAGATCTTAGCCAGATTAAACGTGACTGGAATTAGAACTGTAGTAAGAGACAATTGTTGTTCGACTAGAACTGATTGGGGTAAACTACAATTCAGGAATTTAGTCAACTTGACATCATGTAGTGTAAAACATTACTTTTAGTAACCAAGTTTTCCTTTTTCTTCACATTTTATTTGGCTTCAAAGGCTTAATTAAGTATCAGTAGTGATAATACCATTAAGAAGGAAAATAGATGTTTCTGGGGGATATATTTAACTATGTATTGTTGTTTTCAGCTGATCACAGTGAGAGTTATTTGAAAATGTTTCCTATACCCCTAGAACCTATTTTAGCAATAGAAAGCGCTTTGATTGAGAGCAACAAACACTGAAATTAATACGTTGTGTCAGCTTTCTGGTTAACTCTTATACGAATACTGAAAGCTCTGATGTCACTTGGTGGACTAACCTCATTGCCACCTGAGAGATGGATATACTGTAAAACGACAAACATTTTATGTGTTTGTAAATGACTAAAATGGTCTTTATGGCATTAATTATAGTAATAACAATCCTCCTCTTGAGGACAGTATACACGACAAACTGAAACATTTACCCAATTTGTGCATGCAAAAGATATGGGTATGAACTAAAAAGGAAGACAAAGCTTATTTGTGGATTGTTTAACAGTAAATCTCTCATTATGTGACAATGATAAGTGATCATTCTTTTAGTAAAATGTACTGTGGTTCAGGATGTGTAATCACTTGCTTCTTTGACACATTTGTCGTTTCTGAATTCATAATTGGTTGAGGTTATTAATATTACGAGTGGATTATTGTATCCTCAAGGTTCGTCTCAATATTCTAGACGTTTTTATTATCTATCTTCCTCGAAATTTTAAATCCTTAATAACTCTTCATCCATGAAAACGTTTTGATATCTTGTTTATTTCACTTTGTTTCCTTCCCATTTAATGAACTTAACTTTTTTCACAATGTTGCAATAGATACTAATTAGGGTCTGTGATGTTAACAATAATCACACAAACACTTATCAAGTTTATTTGATATCTATCGTGGAATTCTTAAATTTACATTGACTCCACAGTCAAATAATGACATTTTTATCTTGTTCAAACTTCTTATTTTTATGTTTTGAATAAACTTTCAATTGTCCAGTTTGAATTGGGCAAGTGTAAATAATACATACAAATTATTCGAGATAATTAGAAATAATTTAGACTAGGCTCGAGACTGGTAGGTCCTGGGTTCGAGTCTCGCGAGTGCGGGATCGTGGATGCGCACTGCTGAGGAGTCCCAGAATAGGACGAAACGGCCGTCCAGTGCTTCCAGGTTTTCCATGGTGGTCTAGCTTCAGTTGACTCATGATTTCAACTATAAGCAAATTTATCATTCTTGTTACACTTTAAAACATTTAGTTTAGTTTTTGTTAAAAACTTGAAACGTCTATATTTATTCAATTTGCCTTGATTTTAATTTTAGACTAGCATTTACCGCTGGTGAAGAAGGACATATGCCCGCGCTTCTTTCAATGGTTAATATTGACCGTTTAACTCCTATTCCATCTATATTAATTGTAGTAAGTTATTGAAATTCACACTTTCTCTATAACACCAATATTTCATACTGTTGTGATAATAGATTTCAAGAGTTTTTCCACGATTATTTCCCTAGGTCAATAACATTTCTATCCTGTGTAATTCAGCCTTTATGATTGTTTATTTAAGCATTTTTCTTATGATAAAGCTTAAATTTATATTTTCCTATACCCTACTACTACTACTACTACTATATACTTACTTACTTACGCCTGTTACCCCTTGTGGAGGAGCATAGGCCGCTCACCAGCATTCTCCATCCAACTCTGTCCTGAGCCTTCCTTTCCAGTTCTTTCCAGTTACTATTCAGCCTTTTCATATCGGCTTCTATTTCCCGGCGTAGTGTGTTCTTTGGCCTCCCTCTCTTCCGCTTCCCTTACGGATTCCAAGTTAGGGATTGAGTCGTGATGCACATTGGTGATTTCCTCAATGTATGTCCGATCCACTTCCAACGTCTTTTCCTAATTTCCTCTTCAGCTGGAAGCTGATTTGTCCTCTCCCATAAAACGCTGTTGCTGATAGTATCCGGCCAGTGGATGTTGAGTATTTTGCGTAGACAATTGTTTATAAATACTTGTACCTTCCTGATGATGGTCGTAGTAGTTCTCCACGTTTCAGCTCCGTACAGTAGGACTGTCTTGACGTTCGTATTAAAGATTCTGACCTTGAAATTGGTTGAGAGTTGTTTTGAGTTCCATATGTTCTTCAATTGTAGAAATGCTGCCCTTGCTTTGCCAATCCTCGCCTTTACATGTGCATCCGGTCCTCCTTGTTTATCAACGATGCTCCCCAGGTACGTGAATGTTTCCACCTCTTCCAGAGTTTCTTCATCAAGTGTGGTTGGGTTGGTGTTCTCCGTGCTGTATTTAAGGATGTCGCCTTTTCCCTTGCATATGTTGAAGCTTATTGATGCGGAGGCTGCTGCTACATTTGCTGTCTTCATCTGCATTTGGTCGTGTGTATGAGAGAGGAGGGCTAGGTCATCTGAGAAGTCCAAATCATCTAATGGATTCTGAGAAGTCCATTGTATTCCGTATTTCCCTTCAGATGTCGAATTCTTCATAATCCAGTCAATCACTAGAAGGAAGAGGAATGGGGAGAGTAGACAGCCTTGTCTGACTCCGGTCCTTACTGGAAATGCATCTGTCAGCTGTCCTCCATGCACCACTTTGCACTGTAGGCCATCGTATGAGTTTTGGATAATGTTGACAATCTTTTCAGGAACTCCATAGTGTCGAAGAACTTTCCATAATGTTCTCCTGTCCACGCTGTCAAACGCCTTCTCATAGTCGATGAAGTTGACGTATAGTGATGAGTTCCACTCAACTGATTGTTCAACGATGATCCGTAGTGTCGCAATCTGGTCTGTGCACGACCGATCCTTACGGAATCCAGCCTGATGATCCCTAAGTTCGGCGTCTACTGCGTCTTTCATCCGATTCAGCAGCACTCTGTTGAAAACTTTTCCTGGTACTGATAACAAACTGATACCTCTGTAGTTCTCACATTTGCTCAGATCTCCTTTCTTTGGTATCTTGATGAGATATCCTTCTTTCCAGTCCGTTGGCACTTGTTCCTCTTCCCAAATCTTCTTGAATAGAAGGTGAAGCATATTTGCAGTTATTTTAATGTCTGACTTCAGTGCTTCTGCTGGTATATTGTCAGGTCCTGCCGCCTTCCCACTTTTGATTTGTCTGATGGCCATCTTGACTTCTTCGATCGTTGGTGGAGTGATATCTATTGGAAGGTCAGTGTGGGCTGCTTCGATGTTCGGTGGATTCAATGGGGCTGGTCTATTCAGCAGTTCCTCGAAGTATTCTGCCCATCTTTTCCTCTGTTCTTGAATCTCAGTGATTGTCTTTCGTTCTTTGTTTTTGACTGGTCTCTCTGGTTTGCTATATCTCCCTGCCAATTTCTTCGTTGTGTCATATAGTTGTTTCATATTCCCTTCTCTTGCGGCTTTTTCCGCCGCCGTTGCTAGTTCTCCCATATATTTCTGCTTGTCGGCTTTAATGCTTTTCTTCACTTCTCTGTTTGCTTCTGCGTAGTCTGCTTGTGCTTTGACTTTCTCTGCTCGTGTTCGGCTGTTGTTAATTGCTAGTTTCTTGTTCTTCCTTTCTTGAATTTTGTCCAGGGTTCCCATAGAGATCCATTTCTTGTGATGATGCTTCTTAGGACCAAGAACCTGCTGACACGTTGAAGTTAGTGCTTCTTTTATCCCTTTCCAGTTGTCCTCCAAAGTAGTTTCTTGTTCTTTCAGTAGATCCTGTAGAGCTTGGAACCTGTTGTTGAGAGTTATCTTGAATTCATGGAGCTTGTCTGTATCTCGAAGGAAGGCTGTATTAAACCTTTGTAGTGCTGTTTGTCCAGTTGTCCAGTCTTTCTTTAGCTTCAGTCTCATCTTGGCCACAACCAGGTGGTGATCTGAAGCTATGTCAGCTCCTCTCCGGGTTCTCACATCTTCCATTGATCTTCGGAATTTTTTGTTGATACAGATGTGATCAATCTGGTTCTCTGTGGTGTGGTCCGGTGAGATCCATGTAGCTGTGTGTATACGTTTGTGTGGGAATATTGTGCCGCCTATAACCAATTTGTTGAATGCACATAGGTTTGCAAGTCTCTCCCCATTTTCATTTCTCTCTCCTAATCCATGTCGTCCAATTACATCTTCATATCCTGTGTTGTCCACCCCAACTTTAGCATTTAGATCTCCCATCAGGACGGTGAGGTTCTTTCGTGAGCACTTCTCTATAATTGATTGCAGCCTTTCATAGAACTGATCTTTATCATCGTCGTTGCTATCATTAGTGGGTGCATAACATTGGATAATGTTCATTTTGATCCCTTGCTTCTTTGTTCTGAATGATGCTTTGATTATCCTGGGTTCATGAGATTCCCATCCCACAAGTGCATTTCGTGCTTCTTTGGACAGTATTAGAGCAACTCCCTGAGTGTGTGGAGCATTTTCCCCTTCGTTACCGGAGTACAGCAGCATCTCTCCTGTACCTAGCCTTTGTTGTCCAGTTTGTGTCCAATGGGTTTCGCTGATTCCGAGTACTGCCAAGTTGTATCTTCTCATTTCCATTGCTATTTGGCTGGTTTTTCCTGTCTCCCACATCGTCCGGACGTTCCGTGTACCTATAAAGAGTGTTGCTCTGGTTGTTAGAAGGTGCATCGGCCTCGTGACTTCCGAAGAATTTCGGCTTTCATCATGAGACGTCATAATTATTCCTTCAACTCGGAGGGCAGAGTTTAAATGGTTTGAATAATTTTTTCTGGTTAGCGTTTTTTTAGCGAGTTAGCTTTTCTACGGGATGGGGTCGCTAACCCCATGCCCAACCCTCCTCCTTTACCCGGGCTTGGGACCGGCAGTAACTCTAGAAGAGCTACAGGCGGAGTTACTACTACTATATACTACTTCTATTTGCTTCCTATAGTTGTGAAGGTAAAATATCATCCGACCGTATTATTTATTGCTTCAGGAAATTATATATATATGAGATAGTTCAGGTCAACTGTTGTTAAACTTATTTGAAACGGCATAGGATCAGTTATATTCATTGGTCTTTTAACCTTCCAAGAGTCTGCAATATAATATTCTATACGTTTTATCTCCTGATTTCTTTGTCTTTGGATTTTCTTTCCTAACGTTTCATTAATGTGATGATATTATTTCTTTTAATACTCTGTTTTACTTAATCTTTATTTTTTTATACTGACACATAACTAGACAACTTTAACCGACACGTATTTATGCAAAATGTTAAATAGTTTACGTTAAATATCCATGGATTTACTTTTGGGGTACTAGTATGTCTGTACTATAAGTAAATGGTTTGATGTCCATATTAGTTAAGATTTAATATCAAGCATGCTAATCATTATTTTTTATTGATCTCTGTACACTCCATGTAAAATTTTTCGTCAGTTGAATATTCAGCCCGAAACCAAGTATTTATGTCTTTATTTCTTTCCATAGGTGACCCTATCTGTAATTTTTCAAATGTTCGATGATATACTTTATTTGATCGAGTTAACGGGATTTGCTTTCTCTGTAATGTCTGCAATGGCTGTTTGCAGTTTACTCTACATTCGTCGTACAAATCCTGAAATGAATACATCGGGATTTAAAGTAATTTATTTCCTGTTTAAATTTGACTCAGTAATTATTCAGTTGCTCGACAACATATTACTCTTAAATGCTGAACTGCCTTCTGGTGACTACATGTTCTAGGTTTTATATTATTCATTATCTTACTATAACACTGAAATATCCCAAACTATTTTACATAATAGTTATCCTGAACAAATTAAAATTTAAAGGCTAATCTTTATGAACTACTACAATAACGGCTATCAACTAAGGTGAAATGAACTAAGAGAATGGAAGAAGTAAGCAATTAAAGCAAATAAATGCAAAGTAAACTTTCATGAGGCACCTTTCAGTAACTATCTGTAAGATAATGATTTATAGAATGCTTACCATGATTTTATTATTTCTTGTAAATAAAGTCATTGTGTACGTCAATGTGAAACCATGCTAGCTAAGCTAATAGTTCTTCATTATACGTCCACAATGTATCGATTAGTTAAAAGTACTATATGAAATAAAATCTAATTATGTGTTTAAATGTTTTACTTTTCGCTTTATATTTGACACTGATTAAGCAGTATTATAAAGGTTGATAGGGGAACAAGCGAGCTGATTATGGTCTCACTGTATTAAATCCTAAAATCTGAGGCAAATTAATTTGGATAATTAAAATTACAGTCCAAGCGATTGAATAAAACTCGTCTAGATGCAAACTATTTAACGAAAGTAGTATGACTTATTAGAAGGAAAATAATGGATTTAGAACGGAACTAAGCATCTCAAAATAACCAATACATCATTACTTCAGCTTATCTCATAACGATTATACATCATTTTGAAAGGCCTTACCCGGTATTTTATACTCTGATATCTAGAGGTAACTATTTATGTACTGGTTTGCTTTATATTTCTAAAATGTATTTTAGATTATTCAAACATTTAACTATTTATTCTCTCGATTTTTCAGTTACCTATTTTTTTTCCTGTGTTGTACTTAATTGTGGACATTGCTATTGGAATTCTTGCAATCTATCAAAAGCCTACAGATTGTGCAATTAGTATTGGAGTAATGTTGCTAGGTGTTCCAGTTTACCTTTTTGGGGTAGTATGGAAGAACAAACCAAGATCAATGAGATCTTTAATATGTATGTTACTTTCTTTGACTTTTATAATAACTTAGTATTAACTAGGTACGCTTTACATTGTAGTTCTTAAAAACAACGAATTTAAGTTCACTGTTTTTTTATAGTTTTTATCAGGAAACTAATATTTCTACAGTGGTGTAAATAAATAAAACTATTCATATTCATTTCAGACGGCTGAATTTGTCAACTTAATTTTTGTTGTTTGTTTATATCAATAACTAACCTGAGTCTCAGTATAAATCTTAAAAAATCATTTACCATCAATCAAGTACCCTGATTTTAGGAAAAAAAGGGTTCACGACGTTTCTGTAAAAACTATCGGGGAATAGGTCTACATCTGATTTCATCCAAACTGTTGGCTTCCGTCATACTTCGTAGATTTTTCAAAACCCGAGAAAGATTGACTTGCGAAGAGCATCCTGTTTTTCGTTGTGGTCGATGATGTATTGATTACATCTTCTCCCTCCTTCGAACGTTAGAACACCTCCATACCTTTCACAGGCCAACAATCATAGTGTTTCTTGACATTACGGCCGCTTTCGATTCGTTGGACAGGACTGTTCTCTGTGCTTGTCTATTGAAGAAAGGTGTGCCCAAGAAGCTTATTAACACCTTAAAATACCTATATACTAACACCTCAGGTAGAGTGATGACATACAACCACCTCTCTCCACTGTTCCACTCAACCAGTGGGGTTAGTCAGGGTTTTCCAACCTCACCATCCCTCTCCAACTTTACCATCGATGACGTTCTGGAAACAGTTGTAATGGATGTAGGTAATGGTGGTGTGGATTTGTTGTCTGGAAAAAGACATTTCAGTTGGCGCTTACGTGATAAAGTGTATTTTAGCAGAAAATTGATTGCTTGAGCACACGAAAGACCATTATATATTTTGAAGTTTCTTAGATCGCTAATTAAACTGACAAATGATCAAAAGGTTTCTCCTACTAGACGTAACATCTTTGTATTCTGTTAACGTAATCAGACAGAAAATTACAAAGTAAAAATTCAAGAAAAACATATTCGGTTATTCCTATTGTATTAGCTTCGAATACTAGCTAATAGTGTGGGAACGAGTAAATATCGTCTGTAATTCGTCGGTTGATAAAAATGATAACAACTCAGGTTCACCCAGAGCTTCCACCTGCTAGGTTGGCAGTAGGTCATATACTTTGATGTTGGAAAAAGTGAATATAATCATACAGACGTTTACGATAAGGCCATAGGATAGATGGTCAGTTGTTTCGATCGAGACATGTATATAGCTACAAAGTTTGAAAAAAGTATACCGATACTTTTAGGACCGAAATTATATTTTGTTTACGGAGTGATGAGTTTCAACAATCTGACTGGATTCAGACCATTTACTCGTAAGAATATTTCTTGTTCCCTGGTAGTCAATTCCCAAGAATTTTAAATTTCTCCTCAATAAGTCATATATCGTTACGTGTAGTCTAACTTTGTGACATCGCTGTGCGCCTTAACGGACTAGGTGTTCTGTAAATAATAATTGTGGCTTTCCTTCAGTCAGACTAGTGGATTCGAGTCCTTGGATTGAAACTTTTAGCTTACAGAGATGAATAGCTAACAACTGGTATGCGACAATAACAAAAGTGCATCGGATATGAAAACTTGTTTTAATTAACAAATAAGCTTATAAACTTATGTACTTGTTGCCCTCAAATGCCCTGGTACAGCTGACAGTGGGGCGAGTCTGCTCTCCCTCTCCAAATGCTCTCACATGACCATGCGTATATAGCCTCTGACAAGGAAGTCCTACTCACTGCCTTCTCGTTGCGGGGGTGTTGTTTACGAAATTGAGAGGACGAAAAGCGAATGTCCGGCGTTTTAACCGGGTTGGTGGACACGAAAAGTCCACCTAGGGGAGTTGGAAAACCCTGATTCCAAACCAATGGTGTACATGGGCTCCAGTACCCTGTGGGAATAAATGTCGTATGAATCAATCGTTGATCACCGGCTACCATGAAACTACATTTCTTTACGATGCTCCACTGCTTTGTGGATCAGACTTTTAGGTCAAAGGCTACGGGTGTGGCCCATTAAGAAAACCACCTGCCTCAGTTTGAGCATCTGAGCAGTATCACAGCCCTCGCACAAATCGAATGAGATTTGTGCTGCGCATATGTATCTGATGCTTCCTTCTACCAATATTTATGTGTTTAAATAATAATAATAATAATAATAATAATAATAATAATAATAATAATAATAATAATAATAATAGTAATAATGTACTTGTTAAAACCTGACTAATTCAAGTTTAATTTATATTACTATTGGCTTATAGATCAATACTACTTACTGTTAAATAACTCACTTATGCAACAAAAAAATTACCCCACCACATAGAAACAGGTTCTATCCATTAGTTTTTTTGACAACTTTCAAAAGACACTGCTGAAGAGTCCCACAATAACACTAAACGACCGTCCAGTACTTCCATGGTGGTCTAGCTTCAAATGACTGATGATCTCAACTATTAAAATTACCATAATATCCACAAAAACCTCTTCTGATATTCTTTTTGAATTACAAGTTCCCTACTTTGATACAATTCATTTTATTCTCCTTTTTTCTTTAAATTAATGTCCATTGTATTTTAGATGGTGTCACAATCACTTTACAAAAAGTTTTAAAAGTTGTTGAACAAGAAAAAGTCTCTGATATAATAGAAATAGATGGTCATTTAAAACCTATTGATAGTCAACTGGATATATCATAACAAAAAAAAACAACAATAATAAACAATAACGAAAAATTCGCTTTATTCTTAATTTTGCCAATGTTCTTAGAACTACTGTTACAATGGTAACTAATGAATTTTATTCTTAGAATTTTTGTTTTGTTTGTAAAAAAAAAACAATATTGTGCTTAAAATTACCCATGAATTCATCCAATCAAATTGTTTCTTTCTATTACCTTAAAAATCTTTCAAATCATCCTGTAAATGAATTCAACATTTTGCTTTTTTTTTTCTCTTCATAGGATACAGTGTAACATTGTACTTCATTCATTTCATGTTGTATTAAAGAAATTTCTTCGCTTTTTTAGACATAGATTCACTTATATTACCATTTGCTAACATCTTTGCCAGTTTTTTTTTTTTTTAAATTTGTAACTTCTTATATATTTTGTTTTAATCCTAGATGTATTTGTTATTCTTGTACTTTCAGTGCTTCTCCCTTGCATTATCAGTAGAATAATCACATTTTGTATATCCTAAATTGCTTTGATGTATCCTTTTTAATTGATTGTAAATTTGTGTGTATGTACATAGTTTACATACAAAATTCATGATGATATTGAATTAATAAAAAGAAAATATTTGGCTATTTGTAAAGATTTATTCAATTTAATGGTTAGCTGATCATGGATTAGTGACTAACGACTTGTTTGTTATCATTGCCGCAGCCAATGTATGAATGCACATGATTTGTGTACATTATCATTTGCTTTTATCAATTAAAGTATCCTAGTCACTTAACAGTCTTCTTAGTTCTATTGCTAGTTCGGTAGGTGTATATTAAGTGTGTGTGTGTGTGTCTCCTGTACATGAATCGGACGTTTAAGTTTTCCATTCTTTATCCCAAAATTCAGTCATTTACAGCATGAACAATCAACCATAAGAAAACCTCTTACGAATCTCTCCATTTCCACTGCTCTTATTTAATATACCGATTCAGTACTACTACTACTTAATCCGATTACCCCTCATGGAGGAGCATAGGCCGCCCACCAGTATTCTCCATCCAACCATGTCCTGGGCAATCCTTTCCATTAGTTTCCAGTTAACACTAATCTTTCTCATATCTCCTGTTTCCAGACGTAATTTGTTCTTTGGCCATCCTCTTTTTCTCTTGTTGCCTTTTCCTTTGTGTATATTGATGCAGAAGCTGCTGCTACACTGGTTATCTTCATCTGTATTTGTTCGTGTGTATGGTATAGGAGGTCTAGGTCATCAACGAAGTCCAAATTTTGTAAATGATTCTGAGATGTCTATTGTATTCCGTGCTTTCCCTCAGATATCCAGTCATTCACCATAAGAAAGAGAAATGGGGAGATTAGACAGCCTTGTGTGACTCCGATCTTTACTTGGAATGCATCTGTCAGCTGTCCTCCATGCACCACTTTGCACTGTAGTCCATCGTATGAATTCCGGATAATGTTGGCAATCTATTCAGGAACTCCATCGTGTTGAAAAACATTTCCATAATGTTCTCCTATTCACACTGTCCACACCTCACAGTCAATGAAGTTGATGTATAGTGACGAGTTCCACTCAATTGATTGTTCAACGATGATCCGTATTGTCGCGATTTAATCTGTGCACGACCGATTCTTACGTGATGGGGCTTGTTGACCTTGATGTTATGCGTCTAATCAATCTTTTATTCGGCCAAGCAACACTGTTGAAAACCTTTCCTGATACTGACAGTAGTGTGATTCCCCTGTAGTTTTCATATTTACTTAGATCTCCTTTCTTTGTCATCTTGATGAGTTATCCTTCTTTTCAGTCCGTTGGCACTTTTTTTTCCTCCCAAAACTACCTGAATGGAGTGTGGAACATGTTCGCAGCTACTTCAGTGCTTCAGGTGGTATATTGTTAGGTCCTGATGCTTTCCCATTCTTGATTTGCCTGATGGCCAATTTGATTTTTTCTGTCATTGATGGAGTGACAGATATAGGAAGGTCTATGTGTGCTACTTCGATGTCCGGCGGATTCAATGGGCTAGTGTATTGTGTAGTTCCTCAAGGTATTCTACCCACCTTTTCCTCTGTTCTTCAATCTTCATGATTGTCTTTTCTTTTTTGTCCTTGACTGCTCTCCTGTTTAATATGTCTCCCTGTTAGCTTCTTCGTAGTATAATATAGTTGTTTCATATTCCCTTCTCTTGCAGCTTTCTCTGCTGTCGTTTCTAGTTGTTCCATGTATTCCTGCTTGTCGGATTTAATGCCCTTCTTCACTTCCCAGTTTCATTCTGCGTACTCTGTACGTGCCTTGACTTTCTGTGTACTTGTTCAGATGTTAATAATTGCTGTCCTCTTGTTATTCTTTTCAGGGTTTCCATAGAGATCCATTCCTTATGATGATGTTTCTTGCGACTCAGAATATCCTGACATGTTGAAGTCATTGCTTCTTTGATACTTTTTCAGTTGTCCTCCATGACAGACTCTTATTCCTTCAGTAAATCCTGTAAGGCTTAGAACCTGTTGTTGAGAATCATCTTGAATTGATTGCGTTTGTCAGTATGTCGAAGGAAGGCTGTATTGAACCTATGTAATCCTGTTTCCCCACTTGTCCAGTGTTTATTTAGCCTCACTTTCATCTTGGACACAACTAAGTGGTGATCTGAAGCTATGTCACTTCTCCTTGTTCTCACATTTTCCATTGTCCTTCAGAATTTTTGGTTGATGCAAACATGATCTATCTGGTTCTCTGTAGTGTGGTATGGTGAGATCCATATAGCTTTGTATATGTCTTTGTGTGGAAATACTATACCGTTTGTAACCATTTTGCTGAATGATCTCAGATTTGCAAATCTCTCCCCATTTCCGTTCCTTTCTCCCAATCAGTTCATTTCAGCCTCTCGTAGAATTGATCTTTTTGTCGTCATTGCTATCATTGGCGAGTGAACTGAGTTCAATTTTGTTGTAATAAAGGCATAGAAATGGCAAATCTTAAGTGATATTTTCTTAAACATTGCATTGAAACACAAATATTATTTCAATGGTGGATAACATAACCTAAGAAAAGTATTTTCTTGGTCATATACATATTTTAAGCTTCACCCGATTCATTAAAAAATCATTTGTCTAACCATAATCAAAAAAGTAACATACACTTTCAATTTCATCCTAGCAATAACTCCTGTTAAAATATCCACTAAATATCAAAAGTAATGTAACAATAAAATTTTGTTTTAAGATGTTTCTTTGTTCTCAATGTGTTTCCTTCTAGTAGCTAAAACAAAATTGTAACGCTTTATAAAATCGAACTGTGTCATAATAATGTTTAACAAGGTGTTAATCTTTAAATATTTAGCTTGTACTTTTTTTAGTAAATAATAAAGCCCAACATAAATGTTCTATGCTACTTGATTTAAGCCATACACTTCATTTGTTATGAAACTACTATCACAAAGAATAAATATGTCTAGTTGTCAAAAAGGTATCTGAAAATCTTATTGTCTAGTTTTAAGTCTATACCAAATCCTAAGCCTTAGATTCCTATCACTAACAATGTAATTTTTCCTTCTTTCACTACGGGTTACATTGTCTCTTAATGTTATGTTGTTCCATTCGTTATTAAGATTGTTGCAAACAACCTTTATAAACGAAAATTATATCAGTAATGGTTTTCTCTAAGGAAAATCAAAGTATGTATTTGTTTATTGCATGGGTGTTTAGGGGACGATTTAAATGTTATTGCCTGTATTAACTTAGTTCCATTCTTAGCCCCCAAATGCCCTGGTACGGCCGAGAGTGGGGAGAGTCACCTCTCCCTCTCGAAATGCTCTCATATGGCCACGCGAATATATAGCCTCTGCCAGGGAAGTCCTACTCACTGCCTTCTCGTGGCGGGGCTGTTGTTCACAAAAGTGAGAGGACGAAAAGCGAATGTCCGGCGCTTTAACCGGGTTGGTGGGTGTGGAGGATCCACCTAGGGGAGTTGGAAAACTGTGATTCCAAACCAATGGTGCACATGGGCTCCCGTATCCTGAAGGAACGAATGGCGTATAAACCAACTGTTGGTCACCGGCTACCATGGGACTGCATCTCCTTACGATGCTCCACTGCCTTGTGGACTAGACCTTCAGGTCAAAGGTTCCGGGTGTGGCCCCCTAAGAAAACCACCTGCTTCAGTTTGGGCACCTGGGCAGTATCACAGCCCTCACACAAATCGAATAAGATTTGTGAGGCGCATATTTATCTGGTGCTTCCTTGTACCAATATTTATGTGTTTAAATAAATAACTTAGTTCACTTTTGATTCGTATAAATCGTATAGTTAAAAATGCAATCTCTATTGAATAATTGCATTACTCATCTTTAACTGGTTATAATGATAAATTAATGAAAGTCATTATTAGCTTCGATTCTTTCAAACTCACGAAACATTTTGCTTCACTGTTATGACCTTCGACACAAAAACATTAGTAATCGAATACAGATAAAATAGAGTACGTGCTTAGAAGAAAAAAAAATTAATCAAATACAGCACAAAAAAGTGTCTTAACAACAAATAGTGAATTTCATAATTACGAGTTGACAAAAGTAATGATTTACCATCAGTTTGAAGAAAAGTTAATAAATAAAAACAAAACTTCAGATTATGGCTAGTAGTGAAATTATAGACATAAGTTTCATCCTATGTAGGACTTGTAAGTTCGATGTACCTGATCTGTAGATTACTTATATTAAAGATGTTATTAGATTATTGTAAATATTCAAACCATTTTAGATATCTCAGAAGGTTTTTTTGTGGATATTACAATATTTTTATAGTTGAAAGCATGAGTCAATTGAAGCTAGACCACCATGGTTAAGTGCTCCGGTGCGAAGCTGGTAGGTCCTGGGTTCGTATCTCGTTGGTGCGGGATCTTGGAAGCACACTGCTGAGATGTCCCACAATAGGAGGAAACGGCCATCCAGTGTTTCCAGGTTTTCCATGGTGGTCTAGCTTCAATTGACTCATGATTTCAACTATAAAAGTATTTTAGATATGACAGATTCCCGACTGTCTTTCCATTCCCGACAGTCCCAAACTGTCCTTGAAATAAACTGAATTATTTCAAAAACCAACGATCAACCAGATTTTGTATATAAATGTCATTACAATCTAATGACATTCGACACAACATTACTAATAATCAACTATCGACACCATAATAAACATGGTTAAAAATAAAACTAACTTGACAATCATGTACGATAAACAAGATTATGTTATAAGATTTATACTTGAAGTAATCAGTTAACACCTTTGGATGCCGGCCATCTCAGTGGTCTATCGGTTAAGTGATCTGGCGCGAGAGTGGTAAGTCCTTTGTTCGAATCTCGCGAGGCAGGATCGTGGATGAACACTGCTGAGGAGTCCCACAATAGGAAGAAACAGGCATCCAGTGCTTCCAGGTTTTTCATGGTGGTCTAGCTTCAATTGACTCATGATCTCAACTATATAAAAAATTCAGTTATATCATTGAATAAGCTTCGATCAGATTGCCGGGAGAAACATTAGGATTATCTAAATTCCATGGTACTTAATTTCTATCAAATTATTTGTCCGAACTTTGACGATTATTCATACAAAGTATCTTACAATTGAACTAAATTATTAAACAAAATGTACACGTATCATATTTATCAAATATTTAATCTATGTTGCTTAAAACAAAATAACTGTCGTTGTATGGACTAACTAGATAATGTGACTTGACTGATTTATTTATTTAATTTAGTATTTTGTGATTGTTAATTGTCTGTT